ATATATATTGGCGGGTTATTAAGAAATGTTTATGACTTCAGCTCCTATTAAATGTTTTATGAAAAAGATTTTCATACAGTCAGGACTTAAATAATGGCAATAAAACTGGAAGGTAATAAAATGGGAATCAAAGTTGATGAAAGCATGGGGAAAAAATCATTCCAAAATGAACAAAATAACATCAGAGATCATTAATCTCTTGATTGAAGTATCAAACTTGCTGAAGATCTCAATTAAAGAAATGTAATCACCCAAAACTCTAATAAAAACCCTGATATGATTGTGGTGGAGATTATCTCATGGTGTGACATCCAGGAAGGTGTAAAGGTGATTTTCTTCCCCTGCAGATCCGAACATGACCCACAGCTGCGACCAGCAGTGCCTCGGCCCCCTGACCTTCCATCCCAGGGCTGTGGGACACGAGATCCGCCTGAGCGAGGGCGGTCGACGTGCCCAGAGAGCTGAAGACACTTTCAAAGGTGGTGTTGTTTTCACCAGCCGGCCTGTGAAGACCCACGAGAGGATCCGGGTCCTGGTGGAGAAACGTGTGCCACACTGGCAAGGAGCCATGCGCGTCGGCTTCACCAACGTTCCTCCATTAACCAGATCTTTGCCTTTGCCCCCCATTGCCGTGCCCAACCTCACACAAACCTCAGGTCACTGGGCCACAATTGTGCCAGAGTCCTGCTGTCAGGAAGGTTCGGTGCTGGAATTCTGGGTCACTGATGATGGCCACATATGTCTGAAATTTCAAAACTCCGAGAAGCAAAAGATAGAAGCGGAAGTGGACGTCAGAAAGCCTCTCTGGGCCATGATTGATGTCTACGGCCAGACGTGCTCCATCTTCCTTCTAGGTAACTTTTGTCACACCCACATTTTGCTTGACTAACAGCCTGATCTTCTTGTTCTTTGCTGACAAAGCCTTCAGCATATGCTAAAAATATCTGACTGATTCCCTGCTGCAGGCTCAAAGACAAAAGGTTTTCTTTTCAAAAGAACATCTTGTCCTACACTTGACCCTCTCACCAGACAGCCCTCCAGTCTCAAACCCGATTCTACGACACAGAGGGAAAAATCCGATGACTGTATCTCCTGCCGAAGCATGGAAATCCCAGCAGGTTTTGGATTTTGTTTTGCTCATGAAAGGTAAGGATGGAGAAATTCTGGCATGTTGTAACTTTAACGTCTCTCCTCTGTCGGCAGATGACCGCTGCGTGGTGTGTATGACGCGAGAGGCTGACATCACGCTGCCCTGTGGCCACCGCTGCCTCTGCCTCAGCTGCACCTCCAGAGTCTTGGTGCAGTTTGGCATCTGTCCGTTGTGTCGAGTGAGGATTGACACTGGAGTGATGTCTGAAGGCAGCATGATCTCCAGAACTGGGGAGAGCTAGCATCAAATTGAAACTACTAAGACTGTAACCAAGAAAACATCACGAACTGCACCTTTTGACTGCATCCTGCTGAGCAGCCAAATTCAAGAGGACTTAGATGCAGATAAATCTTTTTTATAAATAATATTTAAACATGGACATGTTTGACTGACTGTCTGTAGGCATGCACATGCTCATGTTTTTTTTTTTGTATTGTATATTCATTTTTAAATTTATAAAAGAAAAATAGTTAGAAAAAAATACATGAAACGGATGTTATTTCCCTTATAAAAAGTCTTAAAGTCCAGTAAATCTCTGTCTACAACAGCAAAGTAGTAGATAAGCAACTTCCTGATGACCTCATCCCATTATTCCTCTGCACAGTAGTACATTCAACATGTAATATTCATGCTCAAGTTTAGAAGAAAACTTAATTTATAATGGTCAAGTCAATGTTAAACAGTATTAATTTACTTTTCATTTCATTTTAAAACCTTATTTTAACAACCAGCCTAAATCTGGTAAAGGTTCAGTGAAACTAGCAGGAGCCATGGTAACAAATCGATGGATCAGGTCTCAGATAACTATGTTGGGGAACCTGGTTTCCAACAAGTTATCGGATTTATATAAATTATCTAAATACTATATAAAGGTTAGATTAAATTATTTATATAAATTATCTAAATACTATATAAAGGTTAGATTAAATTATTTAGCTACTGAATCCAAGGATGAATTCACTATCATGCATATTAGCACCTCTAGTTTGTCCTGACTGCTGGTTTGCTGTAGCTGTGAATCTTCTTTATCTATGGCAAAATGATCAGCACTTATGTTGTGCTTTATTAAGCCCAGAGGACCGCAAAGTGCTTCAGATTACATTCAGTCATTCATCAATTGACTCACACATTCTACGCGCTGCAAGTCATTTTGAAACCACCGGGAGGCAGTGTGAGCATGTTCCTGCAAGACTCATCAGTTGTGATATTTTGGGCAAAATGCAATGTGTCTCCATGTTTTATTTTTTCTTGTTTCTTTTTTTTAACTGATGCCTGTTACAGAAAAAGCATTTAGTCATTTCCCCCCTCCTCCAGAATTGAGGATTTCAATGTAAGTTTCTTGCAGCTTTATAAGAACAAAGTATCCAGAAAATAGACATTTTTTTTTCCTCCATGAGAGTTTACTACTTATCTGAATGGCCCAGTCAGAACAGCTTACGCTCAGAGTGGAGTAGTTGGACGTGTGGATAAGCTCCAGAGGAATGGACAGAGGGGTGACCTTTGGTCTCTGATCACACAGTCTACCTGTTAAATATTTATCTTGGACTGTGGAGTGAAGCTGCCTCTGATCTCCTTGCGAAGGAATCTTTGGAGTGGGAATTACCAGATAACCTACTCAGACATTGAACAGACACTTCACATTTCCACAGATAAACAGCTAAATCACTTGATAACATTTAAGAAGACAATCGTCACACTGCCTTTGTGACTTGACTGCTCCGCTTTCTTCTCACTGAGAGGGTAAGTACTGCACTAAAACGGGATGTGTGTGTGATTTTGTGAATATCTACATCTCAGAGCTTAGTCAGGAATGGTTTCACACGCCTGCAGAGGAAGAAAAATTAAGTGAATTTACCATCAGATTTCTTCTAGCATCGGGATTCTCAAAATGTGGCATATGAAACAGTAGTGGCGTTTGTGCTGTCTTTAGTCCTGTCATGTCCTACGATTTTCTATCACATGGAAAGTACTGATGGACCAGTGCTTCCTCTTGATGCCCAGGGAATATCCCATCATACTCTACCCTGTTCTGTTGGGAGTCTTCTTCTGTTAGAAGGGCTCCTAGACTTTAAAATACTGTTGTTAGTTTATAAATGAGTGAACGGTTTAGCATTAACGATCTGCTGTTGTTGTGTCAACCTTCCAGACCCCTCAGGTCTTCTGGTTCTGGTTCTGCTCTGCATCCCCAGAACCAGAACCAAACATGGAGAAGCAGCATTCAGCTTCTATGCACCACAAATCTGGAACAAACTTCCAGAAAACTGCAAAACAGCCGAAACATTGAGTTCCTTTAAATTTAGACTAAAAACCCGTCTGTTTCGAGTTGCTTTTGAAACCTAATCATGAAACATTAATCAATAATCTGATGTGCAAAATGTAAAGTTCTTGACTGTGTTGTAATTTTGTGTTTATATGATGTAAAGCACTTTGAAATGCCTTGTTGCTGAAAGCTGCTATACAAATAAAATTTGATTGGTTGATTCCACTCTCGCCATATTCTTCATCAGGAAGAGGGAGCGCTGCCAAATCAATGATTGGATGCAGTCAGCTGGTCTTCCTGAAATAAATAGCCATAAGCAATTTATTCTACACTGCAAAAACACAAAATCCTACAAATTATTTTTGGTCAAGTTTTCAGTGCAAAGATCTTAGTAAACTTGAAATAAGACGAAATTAACTTGCAAGTAACTTGGAACCGACACTTAATATTGAGGAATCATTTTAAGTCAGTGGTTCTTTAATATTGATGTTAAAGTATGAGTTATAAGTGAAATGGTCTTCCAGTGGAACAAGACATTTTTCCATATTATAACTTTTCCCATATTACAATTTACAATATGGGAAAATGATTTGTTTCACTGGCAGATTATTTCATGTACTTCGCCTTCGATATTAAGGAGTCACCGACTAACATTCAGCTCCGACTTCTATCTGAAAAGTTACTTGTAGGTTAACTTTATCTTATTTTAAGTGTGCCGAGATATTTGCACTAGAAACTAAACCAGAAATTCTTGGTAAGACTTTGTGCTTTTGCAATGAGCGCTCCCCTTCACGATGACGTATGTCATTTAGTCCCACTTATTATGATGGCTATCGAAACGGACTCCCTCTCTCAGCAGCACGTGAAACACTGGAGGGTGGTTCCAGTGCAGCCTGTGCCTGGATGGGAATCTCTATTATTTCCAGCTGTGGATGGAAACTATTACTGAGCAGCTTCTCCCTGATGAGCTTTAAAGTACAAGCTCACACACACGATAAACACAGGCCCCGTGTTCACGTATGCGTGCATGCCCACGGACAGCCAGTCAAACATTCAGACGTTCAGAGCCCGGGCTGAATCATTCGGCAGGGATAAAAGCCACCCTGTTGTCCTCAAAAAGAAAAGAAAAGAAAAAAAAAAAAAACAAGAGGGAGGGGGAAAAAAGGGAGAGAGGAGTGGTGGTTGTGAGGTTCACTCCTTCCTTTTCATTCACTTCCTCTCGTCCGCAGAGCTGTGGAGACATCGCTGTGAAGCCGGCACTCGTCTGTAAGTAACTCCTAACAGGATCAGGCTGACAGGGAGGTAAATAGAAAACCACATGGAGGGTCTGATTTTCATACCTTTTCACTTTATCACCGAAAACTGATTTGAAATCCTTTTCGCTGATGTCATTTATGATTGAAAAAAAAAAAAAAAATAGTGCATTGCATGGCTGCTGTTGGGTTGGTTGTTGAGATGTTTCCTCAGTTATCTTCACAATGTTGTTGGTCAACTTTTTAGCAACCACGTGTAACATGAGGTAGATTAGTGCCACATTGACACATTGAGTTCAGAAACAGGTTATCACCAGATCTTTATCTGAAAACTGCCTCTTGTTTTAGGTTGGACTTGTTACAAATGTGTCCGAGTTACAGTTTCATACGTTCTGGAAAAAACAACAACGGGCATCAACACAGAGGAATTTGTACATTTTTTTAAGATTATGATCCAAACCTGCTGTTTGTTGCCAAAAATAACCATCAGTTTTTATTTAGCAACAGGTTCCTATCTTTTCTTTACATTTTGGTTTAAATCTACCTGTACACGTCTCCATGTAGACATAAATGCATTTGGTGATATTATCACCCTGTGATTTCTGCACCCTGTGATTTCTGCAGACTTGCTGTCTCTTGTCTCAGGGAACCTGGTGGTACAAATAATAAGAAACAAACAAACAAAAAAAACAATAAAAACCCCTGGGACATAATCAGCAAGTGATGTAGGTTTGGATTACATAACCAGTTTATGTCATGGTTTGTTTGCTCACTGGAATCTGGCCGTTATCCTTTTAATGAGGCTCTGCAGGAGTGCGCTGCTGGCACCGTGTGTTATGGGTCTTTACGGTGCAGCAATGGTCTGCTGGAATCCATCCTTCACCATGAAGGGCCAGACTCATCGTCTCAGTTGTTGTGTTTTCAGGGTAAAAGAGACAAAAAATAAAAGGAGCTCATTCTTGTATTTGTTTTGTGAACCGAATGTGCGGAACGAGCCAAATCTCCCAGCGTCCTCCTGCGTGATTGCCTCATTTAGCTGTAGAGTGACAGGTTGTCAGATGTGACGACTGCGGGGTGAAAGTCTGCTCCGGCAGGACGCACATTATGAAGTGAGCTCCCCCTCCTGGGAGCCTTCATTACCCAGCATGCCCGTCATGTTCCCGAGCTAAAGTGTTTGGCGAAAACAACCCCATGAGGCGACGGGCCCGGTAAATGGATATCTGCCCCCAGGCTTCGCTCAGCCGAGCCACAGCACTAAATTATTGAAAGGGCTGAGTGCTTTGGTTTCAGCATGAAGCCAGCCAGCATAGTGATGGAAAAATAAATAGATTACTCATTAAAGATGTTATCTTCAGGTGTATTTTGTTCCACTGACAATGAGTTTGGGAGCCCAGACACAGTTTGGGAGTAAAGCATAAACTCCCTCGGCAGCATGTCACAAAATATGGCACATTTTTTTCTTTTTCTGTGGCACTGACTTCAGTCTGAACTCATGCAACTTTAGCTCAAACGACTTCTGTCCTTTTGACTGCAAAGTGATGGGATTTCTTTTCTGATGGTGTATAGGTTATAAAAAAAAATAAATTGGGTCTCAAAGTTATTGCTGAGGATTTCTGACGATGAAGTTTGGTCATTTTATTCGAATCGCGTACTCGTCCCATCACCTGTTTTATCACCTGTTTTATTACTGCCAAAATATCTGGACGTCCATGAAATGATCTCACATTTAGCAGGTGGCGTTAAACTGGGCATGTCTACAGTGAGGTAGATTCTCCAGAGGATTTGTAAAAAAAAACAACAACATTTTCAGGGAAAATTTACGTCAAATGCAAAATTTTAGGTACAAACCAAAGCGTAATTTTTCTTTCATTTTTAT